TGTCACAATCTCTGTATTAACCTCACTGTCACTAAGCCTGGTCCCAGTGTTCGGCAAGATCTCGGGCCTAAAAACTTCAGCAAGCGTTGGTGTCTGAAAGACATAGGAACTTGAAAGCCTAATCTTGTCTTTGAGGCTAATAATTGTCATTCTATTTTAGGGCAATGGATGAGACAATTAGTAATTGTTTATTGACTGAAAAAGTGACCCTGACATGACTAGGTGCCTATGTTGTATCAACTATGTATAAAACAAAATCTATAGATGGAATAAATTGGAGATTGTTGAAAAACGGAAGGCACAAGAATTAAGGGGAACTGGCAAAGGCTTCTTGGAGGAGGGATGAGATGCCAAGGCATTTCTTACGGGGTAATTTGAGGCACATTGGTCATGGAGCCTCTTCTGTGTGGTGTGAATGCCACTAAGAATTTGGGTCCTTGGCACAAATATCTCTTGACATGTTATTGACCTATAATTTTCCATGGATGAGTGGGGTACAGTCTATTAGAAACTTCTGGTCCTAGAGATTCAGGCAGGAAGTACATGGCTTTGACAGATTAAATTCTGAAAGATTTGTTCCCTAAGGATCTCCCCGAATGAGATAAAGGATGTCTCAAAATCTTAGTATGGTTTTTAGCTTTAACACTTCAGCTCAGTGTTTTAAAACTACCCAAAGACTTTTGGGACATACTGTATTATTCCCTTTGACTGAAAAGGAGTATAAATTCATACATGGGGCAAACAACTCAGAATGACAGATTGCTTTCAAAGTCCTAAGTTGTTTGCCGAGTTCATCAGCCTTAATTCATCACTTCCTACATTTACAGAGAAACTTGTTTATGGCTGGGCCCTGCTGTAGGCAAAGGGGCGAGAACGATTCTTGTGGCTACCTCTGGAAGTGCCTTCTCTCTTATGGGAAAGACATAACCTCATGATATGCCCCCCTAGCCTTAGTGTGACCGCCTAAGCTGCCCCTTAGGAAAGTTAGCTGTTTCTCTTTGGTTTAAAGTACTGAGGGTGCCAGACACTGGGCTAAACACATGGAAAGCTCCCACAACACATATGTGGTCCTTCAATTTGTTGTCATGACATTATCGACCAGTATTTCCTTGCGTAGCTGTATTTTGGTGGAAGATGGTCAGGCTTGCATAGGAGATCTGTTAATACTAAGATTTCGAGGCTGAACTTGAAGAACATAAAATTTCACCCCAATTCTTGTTTTGGTATAATTCTCCACAATGGCTATTGTGAGAAGATACTGTGTTTGTCCTTTGAAAAATTAGCTGCTCTTCTATTTATTACTTGCATGCTTGATACTGGTAGACTTTCCCTCTGGAGTGGTACCCTTTGAAAAATGGTATGGTGTTCTCACAGATTTTTCACATTAAGTCACCTTTAAAGCCTGGTTTCTCCTCATATGGCGTCTTTATTTTCTTCTTCTGAATGCTTAACTTGACCCTCTTATCTTCAGATGTAAGGATTACTTAGCTTTAAAATTAACTTCCCTTGGAATGAAGACTTCTACATCTTGTGACTTCTTGTATGTCATCGTCTGTATAGCTTTGGTTAATGGGAAGACTGAGCCATTGAACTAATATTTGAGGGGGGATTTGTTAGTTTTATTCTTGTCACTATAGTTCTGATGTTTGATATCCCGAGTTGAATTTGGGATCGACTCATTTAACATCTTGTTTCTTCTGATTATTTATAATTCTCAGTTTCTTTAAAGCTGAGATTTTCTTGTGTAATCACCTGAAATGGGGTGGTCAAATTGATTTTTTTTTTCATTTTATGTGTCTGATAACACAACCTTTCCTTTTTGATTACTTCTCTAGGTTGATCAGTTTTCAGGACAAAATAAATACAGGAAATTACACAGGTAGAAAAAGATATAGCTTGAGTTCCTTCTGCAAGTGTCCTTCAATGTAGTTGTAACTTAAAGAGGTCTAACTAGCTTCTAAAAATATTTGTTCATATGTGACCCCGGGCAAGTCACTTAACCCCAATTGCCTAAAAACTTAAAAAAAAATTGTTCAGAGTCGATATAGATCCCTAACAAATTTAAGGGACCCCATTGGTTATCTCCCTATGGGCCTATGGGTAGTTGGTTCTATAGTCTTCACAGACTGGGCTGATCTTTCCACATAATTTAAAATTTTTGGTTTAAAATCTGCTTGGCCAAAGTTGCATTCGTATCCTTTCTATACTCTTGTGATACAAACTGATAGTCTTCTAAAAATCCAGTTACTTTTATAGTTAAAAATTTTTCTATCTGCTTCTTGGAATTCATATAAATATGGACTGTGAAAACTACTAAGTGGTGGCTCTATAATTTAGAAACTTACAGTTGGTTTTCTTTTTTATTGTTTCCATTGCTTAAGCAGCAATTATCTCTGGAACAACACCTATGGTAGTTGTTACCAGTATTGCGATGCTTCTATATTCTGTCCTAAAGTACTAACTTCCATTTTGGAGAGGATGTGCTATGCCCAAGACAGGTATACAAGCTAGGGAGGGAAAGAGGCAAAGGACAGATCAGAGGGCCCCAAGACTATTTGAGGAGAAGAAACACCAATACCCACCAGGAAAGGCTAAAGGCTACACAAAGGAAGTGGGACCTGAGCTGAGCCTCGAAAGCCGAGGGGAGAGCATATTCCAGCTCTTGGACAGAGCCGCCCAAGGGCGTGGCAGAAGGAGGCTGCAGAGGAGGGGATCTGAGGTAAAGCGGGAGCTGTCCCCTCTACTCCAGACTTCCAGGGCCCTTATGTGCAAGACCACGTGTTCTCCCAGAGACAAGCGAGTTATGCCTCCGGAGTACTGTTTTAGTTATTGCAGGAAGGATGAGGAGAGAGGCTGACTGCGATTAGGAGGATAACTGCAGGGGAGGGGTGACTGTACATGGAGAGACGGGGGCTGCTGTGGCATTATAATCCACAGGAATGAGCAAGTGACTGGGTTATGGGAGGTGAGGAGAGGGGAGAATTGGAAATGCCTGGGAGGGCCCAGGAGGGTGGTGGGGAAGGGCTGTTCTAAGGGAGAAGCTGAGTTTATTCTGGCCACATTGAGTCTGAGAGGTGGGTAGGCCCACTTTCAGAGATCCATCAAGACAGAGTCTTTGTGGAACTTCTTCCTTTTCAGTTTTTGCAAAGAAATCAAACTGCCAGGATCTGCTTGGTTACTGTGGGTGGTGGGTACAATTACTCTTCTCCATCTGAATCCCATCTGGCTGACTTGGAGTTCTTTCCTTCAGGCTGCCTATTCCCAAACTTGAAGACAGCATGAAGAGATACCTCAGTGCCCAGAGACCTCTTTTGGATGACAGCCAATTCAGGTAAAGACCCATGACCCAGAAGAGGCTGTGAGAGAGAAAAAGTCCAACGGGAAGGTGGCCCAGGGCTACAGAGCCAAAGGTGAATTGTTTTTCCCTTGAGAAAGAAAGCTGCCTTGTCAGAGTCTGCTCCCTGGCACCACCTGGCTGGCTGGCCCAAAGCTCCTACCTGGGGAATGTGCATTTTATGCTCTCCTCCATCCGTGGTGGCCAGAATGGGAAGACGTGGACTTGAGCAGAGACAGAGGCCAGCACAAACCTGGGATGTCGCTCCCCCGTGGTTCGGTGCTCCTAACCGCGCGTGGAGAATCTCCCATTTCTGTCCACAAGACAAGGCCTGCCTCTCCAGCTGCATCTGTGGCCTTTCCTCACTTCCACCTCTCAGGAGCCATGGGCTGTGTAGCCTTGCCTGATTTCCTCCTTTCCCCTTCCACCCAGCAGCAAGGGTTCTGTCTGTCCTGCAGGGCCCCTAGAAGAAGGTTCCAGTGTTGTCCTTTGTATCCCACTTCCCCCAGTAGATGTCATGTCCCAGGAGAACATTGGCTCCTTGCATCTAAATCCCTAGGAGGGTGCCTTGCACACAGTAGATGCTTAATGCATGTTGAAGTGGTTAAGAGGGCCGAGAGGCCGCAGGGGGATAAGGTCAAGCTGAACCTTAGAGATTTTTGTACAGGGTGGGGTAAGAAGTGTCCAGGGGCTCCGGCCCCCACGCCCAGACCTCACCTTAGGCCCCGCCCCTTGCCCTAGACCCTGTCCCCAGGGGTCCCACCTTAAGGTACCAGTGGAAGTCATCACCCACGGGCCACAGGTGTCACGTTCTCCAGGTGGCCTTGAGCCGCAGCCCAATCCTCTGTGTGGTGTGGGAGACAAGAGGCTCTGTCCCTTCCCCCGGTCTTCCCCCCTTCGTTCCCCGGCCCCCAGCTCACCCCCATGGCTGGCCACAGCAGCGACTGTCTCAGGGTGTATGCATGTGTGGCATTAGGCGGAGGGGCAGGGCCTGTTCCCCTGGTAACTGAGAGGCATCTCTCACCACCCCCAGGTGAAGGAAGCTCTCAGGTCTGGGTGTCCAGGATATTCCATAGTTGTCACAGTAATTGTAGTGGCCTCAGACTTCTGGCATTTGTCTCGTACTTTAACGAGGCAGGAGCAGAAGTCGCTGGCGCTCTGGCCCTGGGCAATAAGCCTCCTCCAATGCCTCACTTTGCAGATGAGGAAACTGAGGCTCAGAAAGGTCCAGTGCCTTGAGTCGGTGGGTATTGGGAGAATCAGGAGCACCACACCCTCAACGCAGAGGAGGACTGGGCTCTTCCAGCCTCCCAATGCACTTCTAGAACAATCTGGATCTTATCCATCCTTGTTGGGGCCTTCTCTTCTGCCCAAGGTGCTCAGAGCACACCTCGTCTGTCTCCTCTCTGCGCCCAGCACAGTGGCCTGTACACAGCAGGTACGCTACACTGGCTAACTGTCCAGACCCACTCCCTGATCTCGGCTGCAAAAGGCCACCATCAAGTGCCGTACACCCTTCTTGGGTAAGGAACCCAAGCCGCACAGCCCTCATGTCACAGTGCAGGGTCCCCAAACTGCCAGCTGCTTCCAGCCAGAAGTCCCACGCTGTCACAACTCGAGGCCCTCCAGGACCAAGCTGCAAAGGTGACACTAACAAACTCTCTACTGGCCTACATCTTTATTAAAGACAATCACTTAGACAGCATGTAAAAAAATACTTTCCTAGTTTACACAAAAGTCTTCTGACATTAGGACTGAAACACCACACACCCAAGCACACAGAAAAAGTGAAACGCCCCAGCCTAGATAGGCTTAATCTTGAAATGCAAGCCGATAAGGCTGAAGACCAAACACTTCAGGTCCTGGACCAGGTAATAAAACACTCGCAAACCTTCGGGATCCCTAAAACACAAGGAAAGACGTGTTAGACCCTGGATTCAAGGCACAAAAGGCAATCTTCTCTGGCTCACTGCCTAGGGCAGAATCTGCCCAGAGCTACTGAGGCTGCTGGACGAAACCTCGAGACAGACATCCTCATTTTGATCTGAACTTAGGCTAACCCTCCAATCTTATGTTTAACCTATAACTGAGGGGTTTCCTAGTGATGCTATCCACATAAATGGTCTAGGATTGCTCCTACAGAGGAGAGGGGCCTAAGCTGTGCAGTAACAGTTAACAGGTGGCTAATTTGTAGATGCAAACATGGGGGGAGGGAGGAGGGAAGAGAGCTCAGGGGCCTCTGAGGAAGCTGGCTGCATCTAGGCTGTGTATGGCAAGGAGCCTGGAACCTGGCTTTGGGGGCAGGACAGAGTGGTGAGCTCATGCTTTCTAGGCCTGAGCCAGAGGGGAAGAGCCTCCTTCCCATGTCAGGCAGCAAAAGCAGAGTGGCCAACAGCCACCCTTGGCAGCGTGCCCAAGGCCTCCCCCTGGCAGGCCTGTTACCGGGCCCCTGGCTACGGATGGGCTCATGAACGCCTTCAGTTCCTCCCTGGTAGTCTTTCTAGCACTGAGGATGCAGAAATATCCCACTACCAGGAAAGGGCCCAGAGGTTATACTCCGGGCACCTCAGCACATGGAAATGTCAGCCTCATTGTCTGCACCCCACTCCATGACCAGTGTGGGCTGCACCCACCCATGCACAAGCAGCAGTGGCAGGCAGACTTACTTGGACTGGTTCACATCTATAAGGGAGCCAATTTTGGATGTGGTAAAAGAAATGTGCTCGTCAATCATTTCAAGCTCCTGAAAAGGAAGTTGAACAAAAAAGTTTATCAGAAAACTGATTATCCAGAGTCCAGGCCCTGCCTGATCATATCCATGCCAGCCAAGACAGAAAGAAGCCAGACTTTCCCAGTGATAGCCAGTATGTCACTGTGTGGAGGGACCTTGGCTCTGGGCCCAGGGTCAGGAGGGACCCAGGCTCTGGGCCCAGCCATAGGAGGTACTTGAGCTGTCATGAAGGGACAGATGGAGTCTGTGAGGTGGAGGTGAGGAGGGAGGGCATTCAGGGTTGGAAGAGATAAGAGGGGGTGGAGAGAGGGGAAGGCAGTGCTTTTTAGTGGGAACAGGTGTGATGTCATGGAAGTAGGTGTGACAAAGTTGGATTTGAGGAATGAGGGAGCAATCCAAGATGGTGGATGTGAACCTTCCAATGGTGCCAACTTCCACAAAGCCATTTGCAACATCTGGGCCTCAAGTTTCCTCAGAGAACAGGAGCCAGCATGATATAGGGGAAGAAATATGACTTTAGAAACAGAGGGGCCTGGGTTCAAATCCTGGCTGTGCCACTTGCTGCTTATATGAGCCCTGAATTCAGTCTCTATGGACTTCAGTTTCTTTATCTGAAAAATGGGGCTATTAGATACAATCCCTCCCTTCATGAGCCAAATCTACAATCTTGCAACTGGATCGTCTCCAAGGCCCTTCCCAATCCAAATACTAGTCAACACAAACAAGAATAAAGGGGACCACAGTTTCAGTGGTTTCTTGACATTTAAATCTTATGTCGTGTTCTACAGAAAGTTTTTACCAGAATAAATGCCTATTATACGGAGTCATGCTAGTGAACACGTTGGTGTCTATGTTGAAAAACAGAAGCAAACATGGACCATACATTAATTTGGCAATTCCATTTTCCTAAATCAAGAAGTGGTATACAAGTGGGTGGGGGTACCCCTGGCCTGGTCCTGGACCCTCTGTTTTCTCTCTCAAGGTGACCCCATCAATTGCCATAAGTTTAACTCTCATCTCTATGCAGACACCTCCCAGGTCTAGAGATCCAGTCCTAGACTCCAGGTCTGCATCACCAAATGCTTTAAAGGGCCTTTCCACATGCAGGTGCCATAAGCAACTCAAAGTCAACATGTCCAAAACAGAACTCATCCTCTTACTCCCCAAACTCCCCCATTACTGCTGAGAGCACCACCACCCATCCAGTCACAAAGGTTCACATCCGCCACCTTGGATTCCTCCCTCAAATCCGACTTGGTCACTTCTACATCCATGGCATCTCACACCTGTGCCTACTTCAAACCACTGCCTGCTCCTCTCTCCCCCTGCCCCCCCAACCTCTCCGTGCCTGGAATGCCCTCCCTCCTCACCTCTGCCTCACAGACTCCCTCTCTCCTTCATGACCACTCAAGTACCAGTGTCTACCCAAAACCCTTCTGGATCCCCTTGACTGTTACTGCTGTCCTGCTCCTCAAACTCCCTTGTACACAAACTGCTCTGTTTACTTGTGTTTATTCCCTTTACATTGCCATACATCTTTATCTCCCCTGTCATACTTCCACTGTTTCAGGTAAAATGTAAGCTGCTCACAAGGAGGGATTGTTTCCTTCACTGGATTGATAAAAGACTAACTGAAAACAGCTGTCTAAAAGTCACCCGCCCTGAAGAGGCGCGACCCCTGCGACCCCTTCGGCCCCCTCCTCCCCCCTCACCTGCCGGCCCACTCTGTCAGGCGGAGGCCACAAAGCATCGTCTTCTTTCGTGACCTCACTGTCGTCAATGATTCTCTTCAGTTCTTCCATCACACTCTTATGGACATAAGCCTACAAGTGAGCCAGAGAACAAAGTCTGCCCTGGCCTACAAGGGGGCCCGCTTCTCCGACTCTCCCTGTACCCCAGCCTGGAGACTAGGGGATGGAGGACCCTCCCAAAGCTCTCACCTCTTTTCTGATCATCACATCATTCTTATAATTGCTATTGTTGGCATAGCGCAGTTTTCCTATAAGGAGTAAAAATCACATTCAGTTTACAAACAAAACAGAAACAAAACAACCTGGTAAAACCTAGCTGCCAAAGCAGTCTTACTCAAACGTGGGCCTGACCACATTCCTCCCCAAACTCCAGGGCCAAGGGGTCGTCGATATCAGTTCCAGAGCAGACTATGAAATCCAGTTTGCCATTCAAAGCATGTGACTCCTCCCCCACTTTCAAGTCTTCTTACACCTTGCTCCCACCTCATACTCTTCCATCCAATGACACCAGTCTCCTGTTCCTCCAACAAGAACTTCCGTCTCTCAGCTCTAGTCACTTTGCCTGGCTGTCCCGTCTCACCAACCCCCACCCCGGCCCACCTGGAAGGCTCTCCCTCTTCCACTGACTACTGACCTCTCTGACTTCTTTTATGTCCTAACTAAAATCTACCTTCTACAGGAAGCCTTCCCTCTCCCCTCGTATTTTTCATGCTTTCCATCTGTTAATTATTTTCTGTTTCTCCTATATGTGGCTTGCTTTGTACACAGCCATCCACAGTCGTCTCCCCCAGGGGGCTGTTGAGTGCCTAGAAAGCAGGGGCTGTCTTTGACCTTTCTTTGTCTCCCCAGCACTGAGCACAGTGCCTGGCACAGTAGGCGGGTGCTTAATAAATGTTCATGCCCGCCATGGCTGACATTCAGAGGGAAAAACTTACATGGTGAAAAATGACAGCAAACGATGTAATTAAATGTGGAAAAGGTGTCCCAGGAAGAAGGAATGACTTGCTCCGCTTGGCTCCGCAGGACACAGCTGGCAGCAATGGGGGGAAGCTGCCAGGTGAGAGACTTGGGTTCCAATATGCAGGGGATAGGGTGGAGGTGGGGGGCCACTTGGGGACGTGGCAGTTAAAGGATCCTTGGGGCTGTACTGGCTGGGGTCTGAGGCAGCCCCGAGAGGAGCAAGCTGCCAAACTGGCAGGAAAACAGCAGCCAAGATACTCAGAAATTCTACCAGGTGAAAAAGGAGGGGCCAGTCGAACCCTTGGCCTTAGCTGCCCACCTGTAAATGCCCAGAACAGCTGACAGGCGAGAGGAGCCGAGCCTGAGCTCACCAAGCCACGCTGCCTGCAAAAGCCTGAATTATCCCAAGGAAAGGGGAGATGGATGGAGAGGAGAAGACACATCTGCTTACTGGCCAGTCTTTATTAACTCCCAGGGAGGAGCTCCCTCTTCCAAAGCAGCTCTGCAGCTACAGAGCCGGGCTGCTGCGGGCAAGAGCTTTGTGTGCCACAAAAACACCATCGTGGGAGGAAAGCCCGAGCCAGAATCGGGGTTCAAGTGAAGCTCGGCAAAGGAGCCCATTGTGTGAGGGCATCTGAGGACTCTGGGTTAAATGTCAGCTCCCTGGATCTCCATCTCTTGGAATCTCTGAATATCGCTGCTGCTGCTCTACTCCCTGCAAGGTGGCACTTCACTCTGGTACCTCAGCAGCTATCTGGTAAAGCCACCAACAGTGTTCACTGGTGAATCTACAGACCACCTGAGCAGCCTGGGAAATTTAAGAAATGGAGCAGAAGCCCAGCACCAGAGAATTCTACAGTAGCGATGGGTAGATAATGGAAGATAACTTCCATCAGCTAGACATCTAGCCCAAGCAGAGGGGCTAATCATTTCTTGATTTGCCCTAATGATAATATCATCCTTCAAAAGTTAAGTAAGCCAGGGAATTTATACTCTAGAGATGATCTTCATCAACAAGAAGGAGCAGGTTGATGGAGTCACATTGACGGGAGTCTTGGGAGAAAGTAACTAAGCATTCCAGCTTGGAGTCTTTGATGAAGAAAGGAAATCTGAGCATATTCTGACAGGCAATCTAGATTTTAGGAGAGCTGATTTCCAAGAGTTTGGATAAAGGTTAGGTAGGATTCCATGTTTTAAAAATCTAAGGCCAGGCTGGGATTCTTAAAATCTAGCCAATAGCTTACTAACATTCAGACTCCTTAAAAGTTTGCCCAATATGATGGATGCTCTAATCCTGTCTTTGGCTGAAAGAAAGCTTGGGTCGAATTCTTTCAGACATGACCCGTGTGTCATGATTTTGGGGTCTCAGCACCCCTGAACCCCTAAGCCACATTTTTGTGGCCCATACGGGGAAACTGCCTAACCCCAAGTTCTTCTCCAGCCAAGACTGGAAGGTATGCAAGCTTCCTCTCCTTCCCTTTCTTGCTCTGCAGTTGGGGTCACTCTCCCAAGCACCAAGGCTTGGAGGTGCTTTTCAGGCAGACAGTTGGCTGTCTTGCACTTGGCCTGACGCTCTCAGGCTCTCTGTCCATTGGGTCGGGTCAAGGCCACGGTCTTGGGTACACCTTCCGCAGCATAGAGGACAAGGACTGATGCCCTATCTGGAAGTGTGTGCTCAGTTCTGTTAATTCCCTCAGGCTGTAAGGAACTGGGGAAAACTGCAGGTGCTTTTTGGTTCCCTGAGGCTTCCTTACTCCCTTCCCTCTGCACCTCTGAATCCTCCTTCATGGAGGCTACAGGGAAAGTCAGAACAGCTACAAACATCTTGGCAGAGGCTGGAGGTTTTGTGATTGATCATTAAGGAGTTTTGAAACACCTGTACAACCTGGTCACTCCCTTCCCTTCAGTCAAGAGGGTATCTGTTAACCCCTCTCATAGAAGAAGAGAGTTTTACCTTTTACCCCTCACCTTTTATTTTGCCCTCCTCCACTTAGGAAAGGAAAGAGGGGGGAGGGGCAGCAGCTACAGCATGGGCCCCCCTGACAATGGCCTCGGGCTCTAGGGCAACCTTTGCCTGGAAGCATCACCCAGGTTCAGCACATCCTGCTCACGGTAATGAAGCCAGCCTCCAAACTTGGGTAAGCACGCTTTTTTAAATCTGTAGTTTTAACTGTTAATGAGATGTTGATTCTCTGTGTAAAGTAATTTGGAAGTGCATTTAACAAAACTGAAATCACCTGATTGGTAATGGGCTTGTTTCAACTTTCAAATTGGTGAACTTTTTGTATCAGTTATGTAAAGCAACTTTCCATAATTTGGTTACAGCTAAAATAATTTAGCTAGCCAAAAAGTTTGTTTGGGTTATGTATGGCTTGCTGAGAATTTGCAAGTGTATAGAAATCTCTAATGATTAGCTTTTTACACCAGGACAAATTTAAGTTTGAGATGTAAATCCTGGAAAAGTTTTTTTCCTAAATTGTGATTAGTGAAACTTGCTGTTGTCTGAGGTAAAAGCTCACAGGATTTTATTTTGAGTTGTCTGATGGATCATAATTCATCGATAATCAATAATCCACCATCTTGAAAGAAATGCCACAAGCTACTCAGAGAATATGATACTGGTGGGAAGTCAGCATCGGGAAAAGCTGAGAGGACAATTTTAGCCTCAGTCTAAGATGGGATCCTCCTGGCTCAGTTTCCCCATCATACTGCTTTGAAAGGGAATGTTACCCACTTGCCTATTCCTGAGTCTGCCTATGAGATGGATTTGATACTGCATGTTTGGAAAACTGAATTATTTGAATCCAAACAGAGCTAAGGATGTTTTATCCTCTCAAAGTTGGGCCCTAAATCTAGTCCCTGCTTTATATCTGGGCCCTACAGTTTTTTCTGTCAGATTTATGTCTTCCAGACTATGGGCCATTCACCTACAGTTGGTAGCAAACAGCGAGTACCAGCCAATATCCCCATTTCGTTCCCTGGATGCAGCCTGTGCTAGGTTCCAGTCAACCTCCTCTTTGGGAAACCCCTTGAGGCAGGGACAGCTCCATGCCCCTTGCCAGCAGGAAACAGTTTCAGAAGCCGAGACCTTCACCCCTTACTCCAAAAGAATTTGGGTCCCATTTGTTTGAGGGGGGAATGATGGGGTTGGGAATCTGGCCCCAGAATCTAGGAAAAACCCTGGACTTTCCCATAAGGCCAAATCTCTGGTGTCTGCCTGAGGCTATAATACCATCAACTGGCCTTTCATTGTGGCTACACCCAATCTCCAATTCTGTTAACCTAGCCTGGCCTTCCTTTGTCTTACCTCCCCATGTATGGCCCCTGGCCACTTCCCACCCTTAATCCTAGCTAGGCTCCATTCTCCCTTGGCCATGAGGTCCAGGTCCCAGGAGTTCTGTTCACCCCAGCTTACTGGCCACTCCTAGGTCCTTCCCACAGTCTTTCTGTATATAAGGACCACCTTGTCTCCATTAAGATGCTAGGATTCTTATAATCTAGCTATGGCTGGGATTCTAACATTCAGACTCCTTAAGAGTCTGCCCAATATGATGGATATTCTAATAAGCCTTGTCTTTGGCTGGAAAAAAAAATATCTAAGGCCATAAGTTCCCCATCAAAAGAGTTACTCTAGCAAAGGTCAGATGATGACCTTTCAGGTGTATTGAACAGGACCTTCTTGTTCATGTACGGATTGCCTCTCAGGTTTCAAGATTTCAAGTGCATTGCTTTTCTAACTACTCCAGAAATGACGTTCTACTAACTCTGCCTTAGCCAGCTTTAAGGCTTATAACTTGAAGGTACCATCCCTCTGGACTTGACAGATTTTTAGTTTAAGGAACTACACACTTTCACATCCCAAATAGACACCAATGTAACCAAGTCTATCCCTATGACAAATCAGGTGAGCCAGGTCAAACCAGGTCACATCAAATCAAGAAATATTTACTGAGTAACTAACTGTGCCCAGAGCCCTGCAGCAGACACAGAGGCAAGACGTACTGAATTTGGAGTCAGAAGACCTGGCTCTGAATCCTGACTGCTTCCCGCTTCCTAGGTGACCCTGGCCAAGTGCTTGGCTTTTAAAATGAGGGGTTGGGCTAGATGATCTTAAAGATCCCTCCTACCCCTAAATGCTATGACATAAAACACATTTGAAGAAAAGATTCCAAGCCTCAAGATCTTAATGGTTCCCTGAGAAATGCAAGTCGATTCATGAAAAGCCAACAAAAAACCAAATATACTACAAGACAATGTAAGTCACAAGAATTACTAGATTACTAATCACCAAATGAGTGACACAGTCCACATCTATAAGATTTCAAAGAAAAGTAAAATCACCTGAGTTTTATGGAAAGAACAGTGATTGGGAGCCAGGACACCTGGGGTCCTGTCACTGTCCTGCTATTAATTTTCTGCTTATGGCTTTGGCCAAGTCATTTCCCATGCTTGGGCCCCAGTTTCCTCACTGATAAAATGAGGAGGTGGAGCAAGATGACCTACCACCTCTGATGGTCTAAACTAGTAAGAAAAAGTATGTAGCACATGAAACTCTCAATAGCCAGGTGGTGACACATTCAGCTTAGTGGAGGGAGGGGGAGCTAGGCTTGGTAAGGAAAAGTAAAGCCTTCCTTTTCAACTGGTCACAGCTAATTCAATTCCCTCCCCCAGTCACTTTGCATTTACTCTGTATGAATTTCGTATTCATCTAGATACACCTTTCCCTTCAGTAGTAAGGACTCTCCTGGATGGCAGGGGTTGTCCCCAATGCCTCGACCAGTGCCTGGCATCTTGTAGTCATTTAATTAAAGTTTGCTGAAAGGCATTCAAAGGAAAACTTCTAAGACAAGCAGCAATAGAACAGTGGACAGTTCCCTGAGTTTGGAAGCTAGAAGACAGAAGTGAGTCATGACGCCTCACTTTCACCACCTGTAAAATGGGGACGATCACAGGTGTACTCTGCCACCTGCTGATCTGAGGCAGGAGGGATACAGACAGGGAAGCTGGCACCCTGCAACAATCAGCTGGCTTTAGGGTCCTGGGACCCCACCCTCAGGCCCCTGCCGCCACCTCAGGGGCCTCTTCCACTTCCTTCTCCCCTCTGTCTGCAAAGCCTGTCCCTTCCAGTAGCAGCTGAACGAATGCTTGCAGACTTTCCAGTCCCATTCCCTGGTCCCCATCCCAGTTTCTGCTCTGGTCCAACTGCAATTCCTCGTCACCATGAAGCAAGCATTTATGAAGCTCCAGCTAGTGTCAGACACTGGGATGAAAAAAGACAAAAACCAAACGGTCCCGACCCTCGAGGCCTTTACAATCCGTGGGTTCAGCATATGGGTAGCAGCCCCAGGCAGGAGAGAGGCTGGGGGAGGGGAGCCTGGTAAAGCACTTTAAGTGCGCAAAGTACTTCACCCACAGCATCTCCTCACCACCCCAGGAGGAGGGGGCATCATCACCCCCTTTTACAGAAGAGGAAACTGAGGTCCATAGACCCTCCCTACTCCTTAAACCTGCAAACCAATAATCCCTGACCCCGCACTGCCAGGGGTGAGGGGCCTTCAGCCCATCCCGTGGGGGCTGGCAGCGTCCTAGGAAAGCCAAGCTGCGGTCCCCAGCCAGCCCCCTACTTCCCCAGCGTTCATTCTAGTCTGGGCTCCCCCCTACACCCAGGACCCACCCCTCCCCCCTCCTCCCCCGTGTCTCCTCTAAGCCCATCCTCCCTTAACCTTCCTCTCCCATGCCCTCCTCCCCCGTGTCTCCTCTAAGCGCAGCCTCCTTCACCCCTCCTCCCCCGTGCCCCCCCAGTCCAGCCCCCCCCGCACCCCAGGACCCTCCTGCCCCCCCCAGTCTGGGCCCCCCCTTCCCCCCTCACCGTCCGGCCGAAACTCGAACTCCAGGAACTCGTGGCCGAACTTGCCCTTGTGCCCCACGTAGTAGCGCAGGTAGAAGTCGCTGGCCATGGCCGAATATGTGGGACGCGCCGAGGGCCGCACCGAGGGCCGCACGGCCACCTCTACCAACCTGATGGCACCCCCTTCGATGAGGGCGCGTGGCAGTGACGTCACAAGCCAGCGCCCGAGGCCTCGCCCCCTCTCTTCCGCCCGCAGGCTGGCCCCGCCTTCCCCTATGCGTCACCGCCCCGGCCCCGCCCATGAGCTAGGCGCGATGAGGCGCATGCGCAGCAGGGAATGTCATGTTGGGCTTTATCTATGGCCTGGGAAACTTTGGACAGCTTTCTGAGGAGCATCCCTAGCCCCCTCTGGTGCAGCCCAGTCGGCCCCAGCGAAGGAGGAACGACCTTTCCCTGCTCTCCAGTCTTGGACATCTTAAACTCAACACGGGGCCATCTCCATCGTCCTGATGAATATCTCGCGATTGGACCCAGATGGCTCTGGAGGAGAAAGTGAGGCTGGTGACGTTGCAAGTCATGTCATCAGCTCCTTGACGTCATGGTCCCCTTCCAGAAAGAAGGACAGACACAACAATCATAGCTAGCATTGCCCATCGCTTGAAGATCACATCCTTACAACAACATTGTAACATAGGTGTGTATGGATATCCCCATCCTACAGCTTGGCGCCAGCCTCATCACCAGGGAAACTCTGGTTCAAATCCCGTTCTGACACATCCTGGCTGTGTGATCCTGGGAAAATCACTTAACCTGTTAGTGCCCTGGGCAATTTAAGGTTCCGACCTTTATCTGTAGAGCAAACTCCTCACACTGATGAAATCACGGGCTCGAAACCAATTCTGAGGTTTCACTTTTTTCCATCTAATGTTTTAGCCTCTTGAACACTTTTGGCATGGGACATATTCACTGTCCTCTTTCTAATACATCTAATCCAATGCCCACAGCTTCAATTTTCTAGGGTGCAGATTTGGCTTTCTTAAGTTCAGGCTTGCTTAGCATACAAATTCAAAAGTCAGCATTCTGCTGCAGTTTGGAATTAATGCCTTTAACAGAAAGGGGTTTCCACCAGGGGATAGAAAAATAAAGAAAGGGGGAATCATTCACGGGAGGAAAGGGAAGCTTTCTGAAGGAATATTTACTGGGATGAGGGACGTTACCTATTCAAGGGCAGGTGACCACATACTTTACCTTTGTGAAATGTCCATTTTGGCAAAACTGCAGGGTTGAAATAAGCATTTAGAGCAGAAGGCAGATGTCTCTCATCCAAGGATAGCGAGCAGTTTTACAGTGGCCGATGTGATCACCCACTTTACGTGGTTTGTTATAATTTCATTCTCCTTCCTATCTGCTAGGATACCAGATGATTGGGGGATTTCTACATAGTTAGTTCATTAAAATGTTGTGAAATAATGATTCCTGTTCCCTGCCCCCACCCCCATTCCCTTTGATTCAAAGGGCCTCCTCTAACATGTTTTGTTCCCTCTAACAGTCTATGCAAAAGTGGTAGTGGTTGTCCTTTGTGCTCAAAGAGGACCACAAGGCTATCACTATGTTGTGGTCACTGTACCAGTGTCTCCCAGGTCTCACACCTGAGTCCGAAGTTCTTCAAAGAGACCTTGAAATTGTCCTTGTATCACTTCTCCGGACCTCCACATGAGTACTTGCCCCGTTGTATGAGTTCTCTGTAAAGCAGTCCTTTAGCCAAACATGCGTTTGGCATTCAGACAATGCAGCCAGCCCATCAGAGCTGCGCTCTCTGTCATCGAGTTTGGATGCTTGACAGTTCAGCTTAGAAATGACCTCAGTGTCCAGTGCCTTATCCTGACATATGATCTTCAGAATCTTCCTAAGACAATTCAAATGGAAGCGATTCAGTTTCCCGTCATGGCTCTGGTAGAGTGTCCAGGTTTCACAGGCATGCAACAATGAGGTCAGCACAACGGCTCTGCAGACCTTCAATTTGGTAGGCAGTCTGATACCTCTTCTCCCCCACACCTGCCTTCAGAGCCTCCCAGAAGAGTAGGTCCAACCACGTTACTCACCCATTCTCAATAAACCCCAGTGGCTCCCGGTGACCTCCAGGATCAAATATAAAAGCTTTGATTTAGTGTTCGAAGCCCTTCCCAATCCAACTCCTTCCTACCACACACCTTTTGCACTTTGCCTCCTTCCTCGTACTCTGTGTCTATGGTTCAGTGACACTGGCCCCCTTATTGTTACATCTTCTGCATTTCCACTGGCTGTCCCCATACCTGGCAAGCTTCCCTCTCCATCTCTGCCTCCTGGCTCCCCTGGCTTTCTTCCAGACTCAACTCAAATCCCACCTTCTGTAAGAAGCCTTTCTCAACACCCCCCCCAGTACTTTCTCTCCAAAATTACCTTCCATTTAGGAAAAGGAACAAGCATTTATTAAGTACCTACTATGTGGCAGCCACTACACTAACTGCTTTACAGATGTTAATTGGCCATTTATACTGGTTATATCTCTTAGATGCACATAGTTATTTTCATCTCATCTCCCTCTTGAGAATATTATATGTGTGAGGTCCAGGACCATGTGTTTCTCTCCTTTCTCTGCATCCTCGATGCTTCGCACAGTGCCTAGCATGTTGAGCGACTGACTAGCTTCTCAAATAGACCGCAGGTGGTCAGGGACACAATTCCTTCAATTGTATAAGATAAAATGACCGTGTGACGTGGTTAATCATTCTAGGACGTATATAGTGGCGTTCTCTTTTTAATAAAAATTTCACACCTGATACACTGAAGTATGTGCTTTCAAGTGAGCTGCTGTCCCTCTCAGTCTACCCGGGGGTCACCAGGCCCGTGTCTCGGGCTTCCAGGGTAGGGGCTCTGAGCCAAGAGTTAGAGACCCCCCCTGGGCTGTTCATCCTTTCAGCAATCCACATCTGGCTTTAAGGGATCACTCTGAGCAGAGCGCTGTACTAGGTGCTAAAGAGCAGAGATTAGGAAAAATCCCAAACAATCCCTGTCCTCCAGGTGCTTACGCTCACTCCTGAACCTTGGCACTAAGAGCAGGTTTCTGCCCCAAGAGTCAGAAGCAGATAATAGTGGGATATCCCAATGCGGTCCTCTGGGGTCAGATGAAGTGTGACAGAGCACCAGCGGGGACAAGAGCGGTGGCTTCAAGGTCATCCTGGGAAGCTTGTGGTTGAAGCAAGTTGTCTGGCTCTTTGTGAGCCCATTTGGGGTCTTCTTGGGAAAGATCCTGGAGTGGCTGGCCATTTCTTTCTCCAGCTCATTTTACAGATGAGGAAACTGAGGCAAACAGGGTGAAGTGACTTGCCCAGGGTCACACAGCTAGTAAGTATCTGAGGCTGGAATTGAACTCGGGTATTCTTGACTTCAGGCTGGGTGCTCTATCCACTGTACCACCTCGCTCCCCCTATCCTGAGAAGATGCCTCAGTGAATACAGCCAAAGAAATTCAGTTTCCAACTGGTTGCAGTGTATGTTGAAATCAGGTTAAGAGATTCTTGTCTTCACTCAAAAGAGGTAAGAGTAAAGCGGGTGGGGCAGGCCTGAAGAGGTGGCTGGCATCCCTGGTCTTGCTGTGGCAGCTCTTAGCAAAATGCTTAGCACACAATAGGTGCTTAACAAATGTTTACTGAATGAATGACACACACACACAGTAGGGCTTGTTACTCAGGCATTCTCCAAGATCTTAGGAGAAAGGACTTGTCTGTGGAAACACTGCCCTCTGGTGTTCTTTCTGTGCTATTTGCCCAACTCCTATCTACTGTGAATTTAGACGCTTGGTTTTTTTTCAGTCGGCAAAACTGATGATGTTTGAAGATCCACTGGATCACAGAGGATCACAGATACAGGTATGCCAGAGCCAGCCTGAACCAGATCAGAGAGCTGATTGTTAAATGTGCACTGTGAGCCCTTGGAAATTGGCAAATGCCACAAACCAGGACTAGACGTATTGTTTTGTTGGGTGTTTTTTCTTTAGAAAGTGAGGCAGAACACGACGATGAATGATTCAGATTCAACTTAAAAGTGTGTCGTGTGTTCATACCACACCCCCCCCCAGCCTGAACCAGTTGTTAAACATGTGTGAGCACACCGCTGACCACAGACCCAGAGCTAGGAGAGAACTTAGAGTTCATAATGAGAAAGAAAATGAAGCCAAGTCGTCCCCAGGCTCACAGGCTCAGACCCGGGAGAGTCTTCCGAGGCCCTCTGGTCTATCTCCCTTTTGTCCAAAGGAGACACTAAGGGTTCGTTTTCTAAAAGAATTCCCAATAAAACTCTTCAAAGACTGTGATATCTAAACACGTGTAAAGAAGTCCATGTACACAAATGAGATTTGGATGCACCTTCTCAAGAACACCGCCAGTAGATAACATCGAGGTGGCCGGGTGGCACAGTGGGCAGAGCAGTGGACTCGGGGTAAGGAAGACCTGAGGTCAGATCTGGCACGAGACATTTACTAGCTGTGACCCTGAGCAAGTCACTTCACCTTTCTCTGCCTCAATTTCTTCTGCTGTAAAATTGAGAGGGATAATAGTAGCACCTGCTTCCCAAGGAGGGATTATGAGAATCAAATAATATTTGTAAAGCACTTTGCAAACCTTACAATGTTATATAAATTATTATAACCTGTTATTAAGGGACATATATACATATATGTATATGTGTATACATATAGTGTGTGTGTATATATGTGAATATATCTATATCTATGTACATATACATACATATACACACATATGCCCTGTTATTAAGTAAGGAATGTAAGTATCTTTTTTTTAAATGCCCTTTTTAAGGAAAATTTCTTTCCAGTAATTGGACTGATAAGGGAATTAACAATAATATAAACCAAGGAAAATAGAATTACCCTCCCACCTCGAGGTTCTGTGATCCTTCGATGCCTCAACAGGCAGCGTCACAGTCATGACAAGAGCTACAACAGTTGGTCCCTTTATCATGAGTCCCATCTTTGTCCAAGTCTCACATGTTTTCCAAACGTAAATTATCAATAGAGAGAAAATACGTAAGTGTATAAAAGGGAGAATGTGACCCATTGCTTCGATTTAAAAATCCATTGGCAGGAAGTTGTGACGTGTTGGCCGTAGTCTGCGTTTCTTCTGCGATCACCTTCTACTTGGCCGCCCTCTTTATGTTCTCT